GTATCTATGCATATTCATCCATACTAACCTCATAACCCTCACCTCAGTCCCGTGTTCCTTATAGCTCACGCTATGTCTGCATTTCTTATCACTTACATCGTTCCTCAGTTCTGTATTGCCTACACCACTGAGGGGTTCCATGTCGTATCACCCAATCGCCAATTGTCGCTTGACACAACCATGACAGCAATTACGTGTCAAGAATTCAAGTTGATGTATTGCCAGTGCCAGGTGCACTTGGGCTTGTAAACACACATGCCCTCATAAGTGCACTTTGCTCGCAGGTGTACTTGGCTCGTGAGCGCACTTGGTCTCAAAAATACTCTTGGCTTGCAGCCTCACTTGACCTTATGAGTGCACCTGGATCACAGGTGCACTTGGCGTTTTGATTGCACTTGGATCGCAGGTGTGCTGGCGCACAAGTGCTCTTGGCACCCGAGGCCGGATACGCCCCGTTCATATATAGTCACCTAGCAATGTACTTTTGCACTGCATCGATAATCTTGTTACATATCTACACCCAAAGTTACCCATGGTCTTGTTTCCAACTGTATTTACTCAATTGACACAACTACACTCCAAGAGTCAGTCAAGATGATAGACACACTGCATTGAAACAGAGTGACGAAGGTAGCAGTTATCAGATACCCACAGGTGGCCATCTGACATACAGAGCACTTGGAGGCCGGGCCAGGACAGCCACTACCAAGGTGCATAACCCCAATGCAAGAACCCTTCATGAAAGCGGAATCCAAACAGAGATCCACTGGTTTCCAGGACACAACGGCATCCCCAGAATTGAAGAGGGCGATTGCTAAACTAATATGGCCCGTAATGGCTTTGGAGCAAGCACAGTACGAGAGCAGGTATAGAACTATGCGTGGAATGTAATATAACGAATCTAGGAAACAATGGCCCCGGCAAATACACAGGGGGAGGCCGACAAAGGCAGCCAACACAGCAGCTTCAGACTGAAGGTCAAAGCTGGAAACAAGAGACCGATTTCAAAGACTAGTTTAAAGTTGCTAATGGGAGGATCTACCGAAGAAAGTGCAGGCATGCACCAGTAGACTAGAACATAACACAATTCAGGCACTGAGACGACAACATGTGCTGGGGGTGCAGAGGTAAAGGCAGAGCAGTCCAGACGGGAGAGCATCTCTTCCGCCACTGCAACAATTTCAAAGGCCAGCAGAAAACGCTATGAAAAGTGGTGGGGAAGGCCACGGGTTGGATAGTGGACAGATGACACCATGTAACAATCACAGAGCTGTTCTCAATGGGAAAGTGCGACGAAGTGGTGATGAACTTTCTTACAGCTACTGACGTCGGATGGTTCACACCCATGTGCGTGGTGGTATTGGGGTAGCCAATCACTTTGCTTGCAGCCATGTCTTGGCGTGATAGAAGCAACCTGATTGACCGAACCAATAGCCGGGTAATCGAGCGCAGGTGTGGAGTGCGGGGAGTGGCAGACACTTTCTCTTTTCTCCTTTGTTTTGTCAGGTGGGTGTGGTCAACCTTTCACATCTTTCTTTTGTCAGCGGGGATGAAGGGTAGTGGGTGGGCAGCTGTGCCATCTAACTGGCTATGCCGGAGTCGGAGATCATTTAGGCTCTGTTATACTATAGTTTGAGTGAATACAGTATGAATTAAACAAAAAACAAAATATCATTATTAATTGAGGAGCCGCCAATGACAACCATTGCGTTTGTTTCACAATAATCAACAACATCAAGACCGGAAGATGCACAAATGAGCAATATATTAATGATGTAAACCCTTTAATTCTTGATTCCCTTTCTATATAAGAGGATTTTTACTACAATAATATAGTCCACCAGATGGAGGTTATCCTATAGTCATGAGGGTTAATTGAATAATATTATCATCTAGAGCGTTACTTTGAACAAATACTGAAGATCATTTCGATTAACAATTGTTGTAAAGTGGCACTACTAGCGACTCATTTCAACAGACCGGGACAACGTTAAATTACGAAGCTGTGTGCTAGGAATTTTGTATCCTTAAATCCTTTACATTGACAGATTCACATTTGAGGTTGTAGCTGGACAACTATGTCGGTCACCATGATGTGCATTGCCATTTTCCATACCAGGTAGCTATAACATCGGCATCTATATGAATGTCTGAGACTAATATACAAGTCACATTGACATTGAATACGTGCCAGTTGCCGGTTTTTTATTTGTTTTAAACATACTGTAATCACTCCACTTGAAGTATGACAGGCCCCTAATTCCCAAGGCCTCTGGGCAAGCCGGTTAGATGACGAAGCTCTGCACCTGATAACCATCATTCCCAAGACACAAAATAAAGTGAAAATATTGGTACAAACACTAGAAAAGATACCGAAGAGAAAGTCCTCCGAAATAGAGACCCGTGAAGAAGCTCAGTCCTACACCTGCTTTGGCAGGAACCGGCTATCGGTTCGACAAATCAGGTTGGTTGTGTCCCGCCAAGTCATGGGGGCAAGCAAAGTGGTTGGCTGCTACTCGCTTAGGTGGGTACTTCCCGACCTCAAAACCTGCCAGGAGGTTCATCACCGCTTGATTATAGTTCTCGATAGAATGAAAACAGAGATATTCACGTGTATGCATCTGCCCGTTTTCCCAGCCCGTCGCCTTCCCCACCGCTTTCCAGAGCACTTTGTGCTAGTCTGTCCACTGGCTGCAGTGGCACAAGTGATACTGCCGGGCCTGCACAGCTCCGTCTTCACCTCATCGTGCGTACCACCGGCACTTGACATCATCTCGGTGCCCGAAGTGTTTTAAGTACCTGCCATCAGAAGCATACCTGCTCTTCAAGCAATGGAAAGATTGTGACTAACTACTTCACACTTGTCATCGGGATGGGTCTTGTACTCTCTTCCTTGCCCTTGAGTCTATATCCGTAGTGCTTGCTGCACTTGTCTGCGTCCCAGTCTATGCTTGCAGCCGATCTTACTTCGGAGATTCGTCAGGTTCTATTTGCAGCCGATGTATATACTTGTTCCTGTACCATGCCTACTTTTCGGCAGTTTCGGGCCAGGTTCCTTTGTCTATCTGCTTGCTCATTCCTGGAGATGCGTGAGTGTCCCGTTAATCTGTAGATATCTGTTTCAATACCGTGCTCGCGAAAGGTCCTCATATAGCTGTTCACACATCTGGCTAATGGTTGTACAGGTCCCGGCCATAGATGCTCCGTTGGTCGGATTGCCTCCTGTGAGTGGCCGAAGACTACCACCTTTCTCACGCTGTTTGCCTGCAGGATGTCTCATTTCTTGACTGTCTTCCAAAGTGTAAGTTCGATTGCCCACAGCTCTGCAAAGTAGACCTCCATTTGCCCAGGGCTGAGGTGGCATCAGAAGGACTTCCAGCCATCTCTGTGCTTGCATACAGCTGCAGCTCCAAGTCTGCTATCGTCCATGCACGATCCATCCATCCACCACATCCAGACCGCCGTACCTACTTTGGTCTCTGTTTCTCACACACATTTTGTCGCTTATCCCTTAGCTGTGAAATAGTCACTCTGTCTGATAGTACTGAAAGCAGATACATCATCAGGGTTGCAACAGCGCATGGTCTCTACTTACCAACCATGTTCATGCTCTTTCTTGATCACTCGGAATATTTGTGCGCTGACATGGGGTAGTCGTGCAAGTTCCTCAGATTGGATTCTTCGCACACATTTGCCAGCCTGGCTGTGAATTATTTTTGCCTGGAATCCAGTGCCACTGGCGCAGGTGTGAGCCTTGAATCTCTCATAAGTGCACCCAGAGGAGTCTTGGATACAGGGGTTAGGTTCGACCTGGTTTGTCAATTCAAAAGAAGTTGAAGGTCGTCATTGCTGTGAGTTTCTTTTGGGTCCCACAAGACCTCGCTTCCATATAGTGTGACAGCTTTGACCCAATCTATTTGGACTGCTCTAACCCATTGTGGAACTATTTTGTGTACCCTTGTGGGCGTACACAGTAACACTTCTGCAGCTCTGGCCTTGATTAGGCATTGGTTATGGTGCTCTCTAGAGGTCAGGTGTGCATCCATATAGATTCCGAGCAACCCTGTCACGTCTATGTTGAACTGAATGACGACATTAACTACCTTGATGTTGGCTTTGAGTTTCACCTGAAGGTGCTTCTTAAATCATCTTCTGCGGTTGACGAGTGCTTCTTCCATCATATCAGTGTTGAACTGGAGATCCTGTTTACTCAGCCATTGGATGCTCTACGCCGCGCAGGCTTCGCGCTTCTTAACCACCTGGTTCTCATCCCTCCCGCTTGCAACCAACCTGAGGTCATCCAACAAAGTGAGGTTTTGGACCAATTGGACTCTCTCTTTCACCGATTCTATGAACCCAGTGGTATTCATTGCGAAGAGAATTGGCCCCAGAGGCGAGTCCTGTGGCACACCTGCTTCCACCAGGTGGCCCTGCATGACATCGCCTTCGATCACCATCTCCATGTTCTTTCAGAAGGGAAGCTCTCTGTCCATCGTATATGATCTCCATCTATCTTCTTGGCCTTCATTGCATGAATCAGCCTCCCTCTTGCCACGCTTGAGAATGCTCCCTTAATATGGATCAGGAGGACACCCAAGATATTGCCTTCTTTCCACGCTGTGGGAGCTCGGCCAATCATGATGGCTGCACCGCCCATGACTGACCTTCTCCTTCTGCTATCGAATTGACCCTCGATTAGTAGTGCTGTTATTTCTGCCTCTTCAAACAAATGTTCGGCAACTACTTTCTCGTACACATTTCCCATACAGCTGAGCAGGGATATCGTACAGTATGACTTGAGATTTGTGTAGTCATCGTTTCCTGGGTTCCGAATCACGACCGCACAGGCACGCTTCTACACATCTGGGTGCCGACCTACCCGGAGTGCTGCCATGGTTATTACCACGATTCTCGCTCTCATCCACTTCCAGTGTAGGCGGATGGCCCCCAACGACAACTTGTCTCCGCCTGGGACCATCTTGATGAAACAAAGAAAAGAATGGACTGACTAGGAGTCGAACCTAGGACCTTCCTATAATAGACAGATGCTCTACCAACTGAGCTACCGGCCTAGGCTCGTTCCCAGCCCCAGTCTTGGCACGTGCGCCACTTTCTGACCAAACTCGCTCGTACTCAGAGAGGGGCTGGAACCTTTCGAGCTCCGAAAATGGGGTTCGCTTATCGGAACGAGTGAATAGCATTCCGAGCATCCTAATATGGAATAGTGTACAAACTTAGCGTCCGAAGCCCTTGGCGTGAGGGCTCCAGAAATTGTGCGCTCTGCGGCTCAGCAGTCCGGATTCCTCCTCATCGCCATCGATACAGTCAACTCCACCCATCCTCTTCGGACTGCACCTGAATTCCAATCCACAACACATATCGAAAGCCGAGACACCCTACGGCATTCTAGCATCTACCTTGTAGGGCAGTTTGCGATGATAGCTATGCCCCCTAAGGGAAGTAAACGCGCCGTGTCGGAGGCGCCAGGCCCAAAGGTCAAAAGGAACAAACATGATCGTGGAAGCCTCCCCAATCACTACACGGTTGACAATTGGAAGGGATTCCTCCCGAAGAAGATCTTGGAGGCTGTATTGGCTGTGAAGGTGGGCGGGTCTAAAACCCGCAAGATGAGGACTATCGTGTCGACTGGCTAACGCATATATCCTGCTTGACCCCCGATGACTGGAAGCGCGGCATTATGTGCTTAATGATGCATGTACTCTTTAAGGTCAGAGGTTTAACCTTAGCAAATAAGAAAGCCTTCCAAACCACGGTTATCCCGCAATCCTTATACTCGCGCATCACGGACGTTCGGAACTGGATTAGCTACGCGAATGGCCTACTCAAATCAAAACTTATTGAATCGCACTGGGCGATGGCTCAGAGGTTGCTCGAGCAGTATCCCGATGACAAGCGAAGAGAGGTTGCTCAAAAGGCGGCCAACAATCGAAAGCAGCACCTCTCTATGCACGAAGTGGCGCCTTTCCAGAGTAACTACAATGTTTACGAGTATTTGCATTTAGACACAAAGGATATCTTCTTTGTTTGGGCTCCGATACTGCGCAACATAACGCCAGAGTACCTCGGTATGCATGACCGGGCTACGGACGGAGGTTTTCACTGGTTGGATCGTTTAGAAGAGCAGTCGTATACGATCATCGCGCGATTGGTGTCGTGCGCATTAACGGGGTCCCGGGTACCGATTATAGCGAGCATGCTCGTGCGATTGATCTGCGTGAGACAAGTTGCGCACATGAAGAACTTCCGTGGCCGCCGATGCGCACAATTGATTGTTGGTCAGATATCCCGCTTGAAGCTGGTGCTTTAGAAGAAGTTTGGTCTAGGCCCGGAAAAGCTGCCAACTCACCACAGTATAGCCCCAGAGTTCCCATGACTGTACCTGGTTTTACGGACTACAGTATTTCGGAGCACCAGGAAACTGGTGGCCAGGGAATAAGTATGAAGGCGATAGAAGAGATGGAAAAGGCTAGCACCAAGGCGGACATAGAGACGGTCAACTTAGTGAAGCGGCTGTTGGGCACAAGGGAGTTAACCCCAGTGGTTGGGGATGATGGTATGGGTACATTCGCTGCGCACAGTGCTTAATGATTGACTGAATTTTGCATGCATAGGTGAGGTCAATTTGCGCCCGCAGTACAGTGTTGAATACATTACTGCGGAATCAAGTCGTTTAGCGCAGATGAATACTTCCGGGCACGTTCAGTATGCTTTAGAATTGTTGGAGATCGACAAGAAATCCTATCAAGTCTTAGGAGCTGCCCTCCGAAGACGGGAGAAGGAGCTTGAAGCCGAATCGGCGCTTTTAGACTCGATGGAAGAGGAGGCAAAAGTGTGGAAGGACGAAGTTAAGGCGATCGACGAACGTGTTGCTCTCAGGCGTAAGGCCAGTGCTGAACGCAAGCAGTTACTTGCGTGCGACCAGCAGAAGAACCAAAGCAGCTTCAACAGAGTCCATCCGGGAGTGGTTGATTCTTTGCACCCAGGATCAATTTTTGGTTTTGACGTATCGCCAGTTAGGCGTCCGGCACAGGCTCTCCGTGGTCGTCGTTCCTTCACGGGCATTAACGACTCACCCCATTTGGGTCATCGCAGCTTCGGAGCTAGTAGCGACGCTGCCGGGTTGGGCGTTTTGAGTCCGGGCAACAATCCAGGGCCCGCTTTTGACACTCCGCAAAGTAATCCGGGGAGTTACCGAAAGATCTCTCCAATTGGTACGCCTGAAACACCCATCGCTCGGAACGATGTGCGCAAGCCCGAGCAAGACGAACCTGTTCCATCCCGCAATTCGGTGACCCCCGACCAGGGCTACGCGCAGGGACCTTGCGCGGGTGCTATTGAAAACGATGGCGCCGAGGAAGAACCAGGGGCGACGAACAGGGAAAGGTCAAGCACACCCGGTTTGGTATCAGATGCTTTGGGCACGCTTGGTGGTGGAGGTGGTGATACATCCTTTGGGTCGGGGAACGAGAATGAGATCGAGTTGATTGATGGAAGTCGTGGACCTACCAGTGGGAGGCGGGATGAGCATGGTGGGGAAGGAAATTGTATGGTGAGCGAATACTTGAGTTCACAGTCATCTGCTACCCAGAATGTGATCCCCCCCGTAGACTTGTCCTTCGGTTAAATTTATGCAGAGTGTAGACGGAGTTTGAGTTGCTGAAGGGCTGTGAATTGCGAGTTATCTTGTGGAGTTTCTTTCGTTGTGGGGTTTCTTTCTTCGGGGGTTATATCATGATAATCCGAGTTCCGGATTGGTTTTGTCCTCGTATTAATATTTCTTACCCGTATGCTTAGTTTGGGTGGATATTTCTTATTCATATATATTTACTTCGTGAGGGTTTCTTTTGGGCTTAGGATTGGGTCATCTGGGGGGGGGGGGGGGGCGACTGTAAGTTATATCGTTAGTCTTGGAGCCATAGTCATTATATAGCAATGCAGACTGTTGTGAAACACATTGTGGATTCCTACTGGGTCGGAGCTGCAGTCCGGGTTTCACGAGCACTGATGAGTCCCCGTTAGGGGGGACTCATCAGTGGCCCGAGCACAAACAAGGAAATACGGGTAGGACATAAAGCACACCGGGTCGCCTGCTCGGATTACGCGCAATCGATTCCACAATGGTTCGGAGCCGTGCGGACTCTCCAACAGTTCGCGTCGTCCGAAGGCGGCAGGTATTGAACCAGAAAGCCAGGAAACGTAGTGCAGCGACTGCGGTACCGATAAACGACGGAGGGTCAGTTATAGCACGCATTGACGTCAACTTTGTGCGTGCACCTTGGGAGACGATTACTTGTTTTGCCATGAGAAGGTATGTTGGACAGAGTGAATTGGCAGCTTTCTTAAAGTGAATTAACGAGGCTAGATATATAAACGATACCTCCAAGGCTATCGGGAGACGATTGAGTAACCCGCAGCTCAAATTTCGGGAATGGCAAGGGAGGGCCATAAATCAAACCGATTGCGGACGGGACGTGGTGATCGTTGCACCAACAGGTGGGGGAAAGAGTATGGTGTTCCAGGGTCTTGCGTGAAAGGATGATAGAAACATTGTATTTGTTATTGCACCTATCAATGCTCTCATGACTGATCAGGTTGGTAATTGATCACCCAAAAAGGACACCTGTGGGCGAGGGAGAAAGTTGACGCTTCTATAGGTTGACAATCTGGGTCGAAAAGGCGTTTAAGCTTGCTATATCAACAGCGATTCTCTGAAGGATAATCCAGATCTTGTTAAAGACGTGGCCCGGGGTGTCTACCATATTGTCTATGCTGGCCCGGAGATAACGTCGCCCAACAATAATGCGATTTGGCGAGTGTTGGATGATGAGAAGAGTCCCTTCCGGCGTAACCTGAAAGTTGTGGTTCTGGATGAAGCGCATTGCGTGCATGCGTGGGGTGCACCTGCTAAGGATGGAAACCCTCCTTTTCGGAAGGAATATGCAAATATTGGCGGTTTATGATCCTTCTTGCCAGGCAGTGTGCCATTTCTTGTGATGTCGGCGACACTGCCACGGAGGTGTTTGCGATATATTCACAACAGCTTGGGTTTATCGAAGAATACAGTTCTCATAAAGTTACGCCTGGACCGGCCGAATATTTTCCTCTGTGCGATTCTGATACACGGCCCATTAGACGATCATGCGGACCTCAATATGCTGGTTCCGGAAATAAATCAATACTCCGAGACTACCATCATCCCGGGGAACATGCAAAAAACGATGGTCTTTGTAGACAATGTGTCCGCGGTTATGCGTATAGTCCACCAACTAAGGTGGTTACTAACAGCCCATCTTCTGGATGCGGATGTTGTTCGGCCTTATCACAGTGAGGGATTGGCTTCCGGAAATGCGAAAACGCAACAACTATTTCGAGAAGGTATTACCAGGCTGTTGGTGTGTACATCGGCTCCGGGGATGGGTGTTGATGTCAACGATGTGGAACGGGTTGTGCAGTGGCGGTTTCCCCTCCTCGCTACTTTCGACGACCTCTGGCAACGGTTCGGTCCATGTGCCCGGGATCCAAAGCTCTCTGGACTGGCTATGTTGTTTTATGAACCATCGAAGATTGTTGATTGGGGCGTCGGCGACGGCCATGTGCTCGAAGGTTTCCGGGCATACAACAAGCCAGCCGGTACGGATACTCAAGCATTCTGTGACCACTTATATACCGGAGAGAAACCTGATGTGATCAACGAGGCGCAGAGGAAAGTTAGCAAGCAAGACCCTTCGCTTCTTTGGTGGGTTTCTTCGAGCGGCTGCCGTAGGAGGACCGCTTTATACTTGCTCGACGCGGATGAGAGATCGGAACCATTTTCTACTGGGACTCAATTCTGCGATAATTGCGATGTGTGTGTTTCAAGGCTGGTGGATTGTGGTGGACCAGGGAAATTACTCAGAGTTGATATCTCCTTAACTCAGCCATTCAGGGTGCCTCAGAAGCGATCCCGTCAAACTGGGAACATCGCTAAATCCACCTTGAAGCAGAGAGAATATATCGATAAGAAGTTACAACATTGGTGCCTTCAGCGTTGGAAGACTTTGGCGATGGACGA